CAGAAACTTCTCGATTTTTTTATCTAAAAAAATTTGAGGTTATTTAAGACAGAGAAAGGTATACTTTCACCAAGTTTCGTCAAAATTAAATTATTTTTGCGGAAATGAGAAATAAAAAACGAAAAATCAGAAAAAAACCTGTTTCGCATTTTTCTCGGAAATTTCGAGGTTATGTTAAAAAGTGACTTCTACAAAAGTTGTAGATTTTTGCATGACCTACAACTTTTGTATTGGATACTTTTTTGTTTGACGTCAACTTTCGCCAGAAATCCCTATGACACAATTTTTCATAACTTTTCAACCCCCCAAATCAACCTTCCGCCGCCCCTGCTCACGCATTTATTATTTTTTTTTTTCGTTTATTATAAGCCCCTTTACCATTTCCACTTATGAAAGTCCATGTAACAATTTTCTTTTTTTTCCCTCTAAATGAGTTATTTTATCGGTCTACTAGTGATGTATAGAATGTCAATTTTTAGGCATTCGTGTCGTCGATATCCGCGAATATGAACATTCGAATATGTAGTTTTATTACCTATGTTAAAGCAAAGGCAAGATTACTTTACCGAAAAACATGTTATTCTGCAAAAAAGGAAGAAGAAAAAAACTTTACCAATAAAAATGCTAAGAAATTAATAGTTTTTGTCTTATTTAATATTAATTTCGCATAAAAAAATATGTATATATAATTTTATATTCGCAAAATTCATGTGAATATTTTGCAATAGAATGCAAGCACTTTTTTCCCATTTTTATTTTTTATAAGTTTTACTTTGGTTTTCATTATGGAAATGTGTCTTTATTGTGAAAATTGTTATTGTTTTTGCGAAATTACAGATTACGATGTGTTTGTGAGTAATAAGTGCGAATAAATACTAAAATGGCTTCTCAATACAGTAAAAATGAATTTATTAGACATATCGGCAATGCACAGAAACTGTGACTTGGCTGCACTTGGCGGTTCCAAAAAAATATTCTACTTGCAAAAAATATTTCTGCCAAGGGAGTTTTTGCATGTAGATTTATTTTCTCTTATACAGGGTGATTCACAAATGGTAACCAAAAAAGATACAGCGTTAAAGCCCTGTATCTGTAATGACCAAAAATGAAACCTCATATTTTTTTAGTTTTTTAAGATATAGGGTGTTAAGTTTCAAAATATATTTTTAATTTTTTAAATAATTTAAAAACTAGTAAGTGAAATAATTTGAAATTGGGCACATGTATTTATGTAAACATTGTTCAAAATCTGAGGGCCTTTCCTAAAATTTACATGCTATCGGTGGCATATTTTTCTAAATAAAATAGTACGCCACTGCTTTACGGTACCAACCATGATATTATCGGATTCGTCTTTCAATTTTCTACAAATTACTACTCTCTTATGTTTTTCGAAAAAAGTCTGATTTTCGAGTAAAACTTAAAAAACGAACTGAGAATACACTTCGATATTCGAATACAATGCTTTTTAAAATTAAATAGAGAGTGACTCAGATATAATATAAATACACTATTACTATAACGCGTATGAAATATAAAATGATTTTTATAACGGTTCAATATAATTTATCTTTGTGCCGCTCGCTACGCACATCGGTAGAATCTATAATCGTCTATAGACTGAGCTACACTGAACGTCGATCTATATTTTATCTATGTCTTTTGCACTTGGTAAGGATTAGGGAACTACTTTTTTAATGGGTGTAAACGGACTTGATTTACCCGTCCTGAGAAACGTCATAGCATAAGCGTAGACGAGGGGTCTAATTCCGTGGCTATAATAAATTTATAAATTAAAAAAACACAACTGGGACATTTTAAAATGCTGTAATAATTAAAATGGATCAAAGTGCCGGTTATAGCAAAGCGTAAAAAAAATATTAGATGTTATGTTTTATTATCTTTTTTCAATATTTTTTATATCTTGTTGCCTTTTACGCAGACACGCCAATGGATTTTCGTTCTCGGCACGCTTCATCCCCCTTACTAGTCCAAAAGCTAGCCAAGAGTCACTCTCTATAATTTCGACCGCGGAGTATAGTGGGCTGCGATAGCAACTTTGACATTCTGAGCAGTTATAAGAATGAATAAATAGTGCTTTTCATGAGAATCAAGCAACAATACATTTCGAACAAATTACATTTTCGTTAGTAAAAAGATGTCGGGCCTGTGATCGTGGAAATGGAGGTATTTTTGAGCATTTAGATACTCAAATAAAATCATTAAAACGATTACTAATCTTATTAATTTCTTTATTCGAATAACCGAATGATTAGTGCTTGTCATGTCATTTAGTGTTTTCAGTGGGTTTTTTAAGTTTTACTCGAAAATCAGGCTTGTTTCGAAAAACATAAGAGAGTAGAAATTTGTAGAAAATTGAAAGGCGAATCCGAAAATATCATGGTTGTTCCCGTAAATCAGTGGCGTATTATTTTATTTAGAAAAATATATCAGTGTATTTTCGCCACTGGAGCCAGTAAATTTTAGGAAAACCCTTCAGATTTTGGACAATGTTTACATAAATACATGTGCCCAATTTCAAATTATTTCACCGACTAGTTTTTAAATTATTTAAAAGAATTAAAAATATTTTTTGAAGTTTAACACCCTGTATCTTTTTAACGAAGCGTCCTAGATAAAAACTTTATAGGAAAGACTCCCCTTAAAATTCACCACAGACACACAGACGAAGTTTCATTTTTGGTTACCATTTGTGAATCACCCTGTATATCTGAAAAAATATTTTTAAGTATTTTTTCAAGTGTCTTTATTTCAAGTTCCTTTCACTATTTCCAGTTTTTTTTGCGGATAAAAAATTAAAAAAATAGCCTCTTTCAATTTTTCATGTTCTTTCCGAGTCTCTAATTACGTCTAAAGCTCTGCATCCGTCAATCTTTTTGATCACTCAGTATAATCATCTTCTGTTTCAAACTAATCTAAAATGACTGAACCAATGTTACCAGTTTTTTTTTTTTAAAACAAATGCCTAATTAGATTTATTTATAATTTTTTATTTCATTAGATCATGAAATTGGGGTATAAACAAAAGTTATTGTGAGGCGAACCACATTATTAGAACAAACTTATTTCTCTTCTCTCCTACACAATAATACATTAAAAAGCTGTTGAAAAGATTGAAAGGAAATAACTGATATTTTTCAGTTATTTTTTCCAAGTTTCATAAACCTTTTAATACGACGCATTTGAACTATAAATCTCTTCAAACTTCAAAGTTTATTTAAAAATCTGAAAATGAGTTCTACCTGTATTCGTTCCTCCCGTGAATATCCACGCTCCCGTGGATCTGGCGGCTTTTAGTAAGCCCTTCCTGAGGACTTTTTTCAGTTTAGGTTGTAGTTCGAAGTTCGCTTTACCGCCTTGAATTGATATGAGGAGTTTTGGTAGTTCCAAATTCCACTCACGGGTTATTAACTGCATGAGGTGTTCAGGTTTTGTGTCGTGCGCCACTCTGATATACTGCAAAAAAAAGTTACATTAATAGTGTTACAATAGGATGTTATTGTTTTAATTAAGTTCCCATAAACATGTACCCGGACATGCTTCGTTTTTGGAATTACAGTTTAAAAAGATCGTTTCTTTTTTAAGTTACAAGAAAACAATTACGTATTCGTTAAATATGTTGCGCAGCTTTAGAGATTGATCGTCATTAAACTGTATACACGTCACAATTTTTTTACATACAGTTTCCGAGATCTACGGAGAAAACTGTTATTGTATTTCTAATGACAGCTTTACGTTTGATATATTTTTTTAAATCAATGATAACTATAATTGATTTATGTCAGTAACAGGCAACGAAAAATGTATATAGCGTGTCTCGAAATTCACGCAAGATCTGAATTTTGCGCCATTTGTGCTTTAAAGTGTTGCCAACAAAAAAAAAAAAGACAGGGTGACAGCCGACAGTAAGGGTTATTAAAAATGGAGCCTACACGAAAGGACAACGCGTTTTCATTTGTTTTAAAAATAATTAAGGTTTGACGGCTACAGTACAAAACGTGGTGATTTAACTTCATCAACTGTCAATAGAATTCACGGATACTGAATAATCTTCAACACTTTAGCCGTCCTTCAACAAGTCGTTCAACACAAAACATCGAAACCGTTCGTGAGAGTGTTGCTGAAAGTCTAGGAACATCAATTAGACACCGTGGTCAAAAATTGGACATTTCGATAAGCTCTATACAGCGTACACTCACGAAACATTTGCAACTTCATGCTTTCAAAGTTCAATTATCAAGATTTGAAGCCTTGAAATCCTTCATCTTTACTTGTTGTTCTCGGGCTTAGTAGCTCTGGGGGTAACCCGAGAACAACAAGGATAGGTCAAAGACTCCTAGCTAAAGCTAGAGAAGAGCATTGTAAGTCTGTCTACGGTTAGTGTGAAAAAGAGGAAAAATATACAGTTTATTCTTGAACAATTTTTATATTTACCGATTTTATGATCACCCTGTACATGCAAGATGAAAGGTCTCCATGCCAACCGCATTTTAAAGACGACCAAAAATTTTAATCAAGAATGACTTTTTCTCGATAAATAAAAAATATTTTTTTGCCTCTTTTCCACTCCAACCGTGGACACACTTGTTGATCCGCACAACCATGGTAAGTTTTACAAAAAAATATTCCTGTTGCTATATCAAGTTATTCGTAAATTAAATAAAATGTTTTTTCAGCTGTTTTTTGTAACCTGAAATATTCCTAGTAGGCAATTTTATTATCGTTTAACAACTTTAAATTATTTCTAAAGGTCTTTAAACTTAGGTAATATGTAATTTAGTAGATTTTATAATTATAATTCCTTTTTGTGGAGAATTTTTGCTAGCATTGACGCTGTTTTAATACAAAACAACGCTCCAATTTTCTCGCACGGTTGAGACTTTTGAAAACTACGAAGCCAGCATGTTTGATTGAACAATGATTGAATATTGTATCGTGTTTGAATAATTACCCGCGGAACTTTTGAAAAACTCACCTTTCACCTGTCAATATTGTCCAAGTGAGAAATGGGTGTGATGTTTTTAATAAATCTATTAGTGCATTATTAATAGTAAATTTAAAACATTGATGGATTATTATAATTATCTATAATAAATAATTAACAATTAATTTAATCATGCAAATTAATTTCAATTAATTTCTTCCATATTAATTGTTCACTGGTACGAATTTGTTGTTTGGTGTCCTATTAATTGATCGGTTGGCCCAAGGGCAACCAAGCATTCTATGCAAAAACTCCATTTGTCCCTAAATATAAATTTCATGGAAGCATATAAATGCTAAAAGTTTTGTTAAGAAAAATTATTTACTAGTGTTGATTTGAAGGGGAATTTTTGAAATTTGTTTAATTATTATTAGAGCTTTTAGAGCCGTTGCAGAAATAAATGTTTCATAAATATTTAAAATACATATTTTTGAGAAATTTTTTATTCTCCTTTTACTTACGTTTTTAAAAACACTTTAAGTACAGCATTTATTAAAAAAATAAAATAACTAGGCTTAAACTTTCAAAGGTCAAAGAAACCATTTGCATTTGAATTATGTGATTATACATTTCTTGCAAAAGTACTAAAGTTCGCAAACTGACACCGTAGAAGAAAATGTCTCTTACAATTTTTTTGTTAAACGCATAGTTTTCGAGATAAACGCCGATAAAAATTGTTAATAACTTTTGATTGAATAGGTATTTTGTAATTCTGCTGACGGCACTTGAAAGTGAAATTAAAATTTTTTTGACAAATAATGCAAGGATCTGATTTAATTAAGCTATTCATCTTGTAACAAGAACGTTAATAATTCTACATCTTCAGTGCAATTTTGAAGCGCGATTACAAACAAGTTTTAAAAATAAATGACAATCGTTTAAAACAAAATGCATTAAAAAGGCGTGGAAAATTTGAAATATCAAAGATATAATGTTTGCATGGTTAATTCTAATTTACTTTGTAAACATTGTTATTGGATTTATATGAAAAAAACTTGCGAAATTATGTTTTATTTATAAACGATAACAAAAAAAAGTTTATACTTACTTATATTAAAAGCATAACATCGTATAATTTGGCTGTTTTTATAATTATTATTTTTTAAACTTGTATAATAATTTTATTGTAATATTGCAAATTTTCATTAAATTGTTAATGTTTCGTTCAGTTTTCATCGTTTATTTGGTCTAGAAATGAAGAGTACGCGTCAAGATCGTGTATTAAACACCTGTAAGAAGGCAACCGCACTCTTACATACATGGCGGATCACCCTTCTGAACGCTCAATCGCTATTTGTTTATAGCTTCAAATAACAGTGGAAAAAACAAATTTTCACACTGCAATTACCTTACTTAATTGAAAATCGCAAAAATTGCATTTTTTGAGTTTTTAACGGCACTTATCTCGAAATCTATGCGTTTAACAAAAAAATTGCAAGCGACAATTTCTTCTTAAAATGGGTCAAATAACAAGAAAATACTTTATATTTTGCCAAAAACTAAGTTCTCAGTGTTTTGCAAGTTTTTTGTTAATAAAAAACTTATCGACATCCGGACAAACTTCTACCCAAAAAATTCGTGTTCTGCAGCTCAAAATACAAAAAAAAAACACTTGGGTAACTCCATCTAAATGAAGGAGGCAATTGGGACCCCCCTGGCTACAGGACTACCGCCCAAACCTCCACCTTGGGGTAAAAACGTTGATTGTGGTACCTGGTCAAGTTAGGAACACTTTATCTTTGCCGGAAACTGAGATTGACAGAAGGCGTTTTTGTGGAAGTGCCAAACATTCAAACGTATATTTTAGGAAGTACTAGGAGTAAATTATTTCACAAAAAGCCCGTACAGTGGCTTTATAAGGGTTGTAACCAATACCGCCATCTATCCACATATCACTTAAATACGATTTGATCTAAAATTGACATACAGGGTTTTTACTAAGAACGCAAACGTTTTGTGTACAGGATCATAATTTCAGTGATAGCCAGAAAGGATATTTAAAGTGTTTCTGGCAACTTTTTATTTTTATCTTAGTATTTCCTTCTCTCACAGGACCATAAAACTTAATTGGTTTAATTTAAACTTTAATTTTAATTGATGTGATGAAGTTCATGGAATCCNTCAGTGAGGTAGTGGATCAACCAATTTAAGAATATCCCTCTAAACCCCATATTGTATAACTTGCTTTCAACAAATGAGATATTGAGACAGTCAAACGCACGCGTCAGATCAAAGAAAATGCCTGCAACATGCATGCCTTCATCCATCAATTTATAAACTTGTTCAGTAAAATTACATGCGGCTGACTGGGTCGATTTACCTATTCGAAAGCCATGTTGGCAACTTGACATTATGTTATACTTATCAATAAAAGCGAAAACTCTGTTGAAAACTACACGTTCATATATTTTAGAGATCACGCTTAGTAAAGATATAGGCCTATAGTTTGCAATATCCTCGGAGTCATTATTTTTATAAATGGGAACTACTGTTGATCTTTTTAGAACTTTTGGAAAGTGACCACTGCTTACAGAGAGATTAATTAAGAAAGCAATATGATCAACTATATATATAGAGATTTTTTTAACCAACCTTACTGATAAAGGATCTGTAACTGTGGTAATTTTATTTTTCAAATTACGTATCACTGAATCTATCTCTTTTCCAACAACAGGAATAAAGAAAAAAGTGTTATTTAGTATTGCATCGGTAGTACAATTAGTAGATTTGCGATCACCGAAATGACTCTGTAACGTCTTTTCTGTAACTGTTGCAAAATAATCGACAAATACGTTGGCTAGCTGATAAGAGTTTGAGCAAAGGTTACCGTCTACATTTAGAGTGATATTCTTTTTTCTATTCTTATTCCTGCCTGTCTCCCTGTTTACAAGATTCCATATGGTTTTACATTTATTATTTGATGTAGCTATGAGTGTATTATGAAAGTTCAATTTAGTTTCTTTTAATAATCTATTGTGATTTTTCTTAGCTTGTCTGTAGATAGCTTGAGAATCACTATCCATCATGTTTATCCAGAACCAATACATATTTTTTAGGTGTTGGCTGGACAGTTTAACTTCATGCGTTACCCATTTCGATTGAGTTTTATAGCCATTATAATGTGTTTTAATTGGGCAACAATAGTCCATTGCATAAGATATAATATCTATAAAATTAGTAAGGCTTAGTTCAGCATCATCCGTATATATTTCATTAAACTGCAGTGTTGACACAACTGCGAGCAAGTTATTAAGGTTACTTTCAGAGAGGTCTCTAAATTGTGAATAAGGTTGACTATTGGTTTTTAAATTGTTAACTGGAATTTGATACGCGTCAAGATCGTGTATTAAACACCTGTAAGAAGGCAACCGCACTCTTACATACATGGCGGGTCACCCTCCTGAACGCTCAATCGCTATTTGTTTATAGCTTCAAATAACAATGGAAAAAACAAATTTTCACACTGCATTTA